GGATCGGTAGTTCATTCAAAGGGCACTATGCTTGAAGAACGGTGTTTATAACAGAAGGAAAGCAGGCCATAACCTACAGCAGAAATAAATTAGATAACCATACTAAGCCACTCTGCATTTGAAGTTGCTCAGCAATGTATAGGACGAGCCCATGATTTTTGTAATCTCTAACCCCACAGCCGCTACGTATATATGCGAAGTCAAAGCAGAAAAGCACAATGTAAACACTTGTTACAATACAATATCATTATGGCTTGACATAACATAGCCATATCACAGCATAAAACAATACAATGCCATTATCTTCTGGACCAATATATTCAGTGTGGGTGTGTCTAGACTACTGAGTTTTTTCGAAAAAAGTGGCCTTTTTTCAAAAAAACTTCACCTGCATCTAGATTGTGGTCACATTCTTTCGAAATTAAATCAAAAGAACGCAGCGTTTTTTTTCAAAATCAGCAAACCTACTTTTACCAGGAAGAATGCCTTTTTTCAAAAGAGCTCTTTCAAAAAAAGGCATTCTTGAATGCAAACAGGGCTTTTTCAAAAAAGAGCATCCAGATTGCCTGGGTGCTCTCTTTTGAAAAAACAGACTACTTTTTCGAAACCCTTGTAGCTGTTTACATGATCTCTTTCGAAAGAGGCTTGTAGTCTAGATGTACCCTGTTTGACAACAATCCTGGAGACTAAACCTGAGCTCTGAAGATCAAGATAAGTGGCTGTCATAGTTCCTGAGCTAACTGCACCGCTGATTGTTTTATGACCTTTTAAAGAGCACCCCAACCTATGTTACAGGCTATTCCTTCCTGACCAGGCATTTAGGCAGCAGACTTCTGAAATTCATTGTGGTCACTTCACCAAGTCTAACTTAAAAGGAGCACCAGTAGTCCTGTTCTCTCAAGGGCAATGACCATAGTATTCCAGAGAAAACGTATTTTGAAAACAATAAACAGGGTATATGCATTCCTAGCTTCCCAGCTGTCTCCAGTCTTCCAAAGTTTCAGAATATTTCACATTCTCTCACATGGCCTCTTGGTCCCAGTGGCAACCTTACGCTGCACCTCTTTCTCCCTTCATAAACACAAACTGATGCCATTGCACTTGAAGTTCCTTCAGTGCCAGAGCAAAGTACTGTTTGGAACACAGTGTGCTCCTAGGGTGATGGAGTGAATGTTGCTGTTAAAAACATGACAAGGCTTAGAACACTAGCAGGGATAGAAACTTAAAGACTTAGAAACAATAAGAGCAAAGAGGCTGCTGAACAGAAAGAAGCTGTAAGATTTCTCTTCAAGTTGTAGTTATGTGACTTTACATAAAATACCAGGAATCTATTTCTGGGTTACACAAAACATCAAGGAACCATGAGAGAGATAGGGTAAATAAACAACTTAAAAAAATCTGTCATGGACATTAAAGATGAAAAAGACCTATTAGACCATCTAGATCATCTCACTGAAAGTGCAAGAGTGCTTTTTCCTAGTGCTCTGAAAATCTAGTTTTCTAGTTCTGTTTCACCATTATAGCTTTCCAAGTTTATCTCTCTCTTTGAACATGTTAGCTTAGCTTAGTTTTCCCCCAGATGATTTGGCTTGCATTTTATTATTTTCTGCCCATACGTCTAAACTTTAGGGTCTTTTATGGTACATATTTGTTTTGAATACTGCTCACAGCTCCTTAATGCAACATTTCTGCAAATTTAATGAGCATGCTGTTTACTCCTTCTTCCAGATCACTAATGAAGATTTTAAGTCTGATATCAATATCAATTACTACACCACCCTATTAGATGCCATCTCCAGCTTGATAATACATTGCAATTTATCAACATTTATTATTTAGCAGAGCTTAAATTTTTATAAAGTATATCTTGGAGCAGTGGGGCTCAGGGCATCTGACCTCCAGGTTTTAAATATTTAACAGAGCTTTGCTCTGGACAGTTCTGGATGAATTTAAGGCCCTGTATTTAGCCAGTTTCAGTACATGAAGTTGTGCTTTATAGTTTACACTTACGCCCAGCCCTGCCCATTGCAGACTGTGGTGGGTGGGGAGCTGCTTTACTCTCTACTGATTAACCTTAATCAGATTAACCTTAATCAGTAAGCATTACCTGGTAAAGATGATACTTACAGGTTAACCGGATAACCATTAACATCCCTAATTTATGTAAGCTAATTTGAATCAGTTCATAATGAACTACATAAATCCATGATATGCCCACATCTGGAATACTGCATGCAGTTCCGGTTGCTCCATCTCAGAAAAAAAAAAAAGATATCTTAGAATTTGAAAAAGTACAGAGAAGAGCAATAAAAATGATAGGGATATGGAACAACTTCCACATAAGGAGAGATTTAAAAGACTGGGAGGGTTCATCTTAGATAAACAGACATCTATAAAATCATTAATCGTGTGAAGAAAAAAAGGGAGGTGCAGAGAGTTTGGGTAGTAATGTAGGGCAGTGGAATAGGGTGCAGAGTCAGAGAGGGGTATGAGTGCAAGAGACGAGTCTGACCTTGGAGAGGGGTATTGGAGGGGGTGCAGGGTCTGGGTGCGATCTGGGGGAAAATTGATACAGAGCATTTGGGTGGTGGCCTGGACAGGTAGTTGGGGAATAGAGGGTGGTTGCCAGAGGCACTCTGGTGGGGAGGCACTTACTTAGGTGGCTCCCAGCCACCAGTCCTGCAGGAACATGAAGGTTGCAGTCGCAAGCTGCTCCACATGGCTCTGCTCGGGGCTGAGGAGGTCGGGGAGAGGGGGAGATGGAAGGGAGAGGCTTCATTGGCTGCCCCTGCCACCAGCAAAATTGTTCAGCTCATATTGGCCAGAAACTGGAAAATGGGAGCTGAGAGATTTTGCAGGGGGGCGATACAGAGCACAAAGCCTCCCTCCTCACTCCCAGCACAGAGCAGCCATATTTAAAGCAGCAGCAGCTATGCTGTGCTTAAGGGTCCTAGAAAAACAGTCGAGGGCTGGATTTGATGGCTTGGCAGGCAAGACCTGGGCCCACTAAGCCGCCTCTTGCTCACCCTGGCCTAAGGTTTTGTCTGTACTAACAGCTTTAGGAAAATCTCACTCTAATGCAATGCACCAAGGCAACTCCATCAGTGGGCTAACAAATCTACCATTAGTGTTTTCACCACTGCATTGTATAGACTGACGCAGAGCCTGTCAGTATTGTAAGTTTTTATAACTTCTTCCTTTGCTCTATTGAGTCCTCCCAATGACTTACTGCTGTTCAAACCTCTTGTACCTTTTCATCTTGAAAGGAAACCACATATAATTAAATGTACCTCATCAGTTGAGGAAGACAAAATATTACACAACTTCAGCATCCAAAAGATTGTCAGTATCCGGGTTAGCTGTGCTAAATGCAATACAAATGTACAGAAATACATGGACTCTGCCATGAAATACTTCCACTGTAAGGGCCTACTCTGACAGAGAGAAGACTGTCATGGAATACTTGTGTAGAGACCCATTGCTAAATCTACAAATGAGACGTAAGCTCAACATTGCAATAGCTTAATTTAGGCATCATGCCACTTAATGATATCCTCAACCCCACGTGTAGACAAAAAACAAAATTTTAAAAACTTTTTAAAAAGACAATCTTTCTAAAAGCGTGCCAAAAGACTAAAAAATAATAAAGAAGTGCATCAAAGTCAAAAATAAAGTTAAGCTAGCAATGTAGGAGAGAGATTGAATGGCTCTCTCCTACATTACTAGCTTAACTTTATTTTTGACTTTGATGCACTTCTTTATTATTTTTTAGTCTTTTGGCGCGCTTTTAGAAAGAAAGATAGTTTTTTTTAAGAGCTTTTTAAATTTTTGTCTTTTTGGTCTTAAATCTAGTGTTTCAATAACTCCAAGGTTCATTTTGATATGATTATGTATTTTGAGCTAGACTGTTTTTCAGACTAGGTATTTACATTTTTAATTAAAATCAGTTCTGTTTAGGCAAGAATAAAGTAATTGAGGTGATCAATCAATTATCTTGTTGGTTAAAAGAAGGAAGGCTTCAAAGACGCTGTAATTCTTCTAAGGCGTCTTTATGACAAACACTGTTGCCCATTAATTTGTTTGAATCGATTTTGTTGATCTCTACGCCTTCCAAAGAACGGACTCGACTGAGTGCAACAAATGGTTGAGCTGGTGCAAAGTACTGAGAGAGAAGGTTCACAACTGTTCTATCCATCATGGTCCCTTGTAGTTTGTGGACAATGGTTGCATAAGCATGGATGATTCGGCCGTATCCCAAATTCGCTTGAAATTGACATGTGATAGGCTCAATGATGTGCTTTGTGACATCACCTTCGAATTCAATGACTACTTTAAGGATATCAGTTTTGTGAATATGGCTGCAGTGGAAGTAGAGCCATATTATATTGTTGATGATGCCAATTTTGCCGTTGACCAAGCCTTTTGCGTGGTCAACATTGTACCGAAGCATAACTTTAGCGCCCAAATGTATTACAATTTTCTTTGGAATGCCTGCTCTTCGATTGATCTTTGTTGGGATAGCTTGATAAAGGTTAGGCACTAGTCTTTTGTGCTCAATAGGAGTATCTTGCTCTGTGATTGTGAACATTTGGAGGTTTGCATTGTCTAAAGTACACCAAACTTATTGTGGTCGTCTACCATTTTACAAGTTGGCATGATTTTCAAAGCTTTTTTGGGTGAAAAGTCCCCTTGTTTGCTTTCCGCACATTTACACAGTAAAATATTTAGTTGTTTTTGTATGAGTTTTTCCTCTTGAAGATTATTTAAAATTTTGATAAATGTTGTATCCCCTCGCTGTCGCATGTTTTCAGTCAATTCACAAAAGCTAAAGAGGCACCAGAGCTGCACAGCCTTCTTATTGAAACAGGTTACTTATAAGCAGGATTGCCTGATACTGGTGGAAACTGAAGGAGATCATCGAAGAGCAAGATGTTCAAGCCTCCCAAAAGTTAATCAGTGTTGGAAACCAAAAATGTAGACACATGTAGATTCAAGCAGGAGTGTTTATTACACATAGAGCTGGCAGAGTGCCACCTTGCCACTTGGGCTCAGCGGACATTGCCAAGTAAATCATCACAAGACATTATAAAGGGAGCTGACTGGTGGAGTGAAACAACGGGGTGGGCATGCCCAAGCCCCTGGATAGGTTCTAGCAGCAAGGCATCATAAGCCAATAAGCCAAAAAGAGTTATATAGTAACTCTGCCCACAGCTCAGGTTAACACAATTGCTAAACACAAGTATATGTCACTACCCCTCCCCCCAAGGATTGCCTTAAAAGGCATAGCTATATTCTGGTTGGGATGCATAGGAGTGGTAATGGTGCCTTCCAGATAGGTAAGAGGTGTGGTCCATAGGTGCTTGTCTAGGGGTATAAAGAAAAGCAAAAATAATGTAAAATATCAGAAAGCAATTATTTAGAATGCACCTTTGATAGATTTGCAAATTGGGCTTGTGAAGGGGGGCACTATCTCTAGTTTTTTAGCAACAATTCGTGATTGGCCTTGGGAAGGCAGCTGTTATTTCTCTCTCAGGAGAGCGGCCCAGACTCTGAGGCCTCTTCCAGGGTTCTGGCCTTGCATGGAGGTGTGAAACTTATGACATGAGAGTTAGTTTTGGCTTTTTATCTAATATTATGCTTCTTTGGCTCTCTACTTTAAGATAAACAGGCAGGGTTGCTTACTACGCTCATCCTGTTTTTTCTGTGTACTCAAGGCTTAGTTAGCTAGGGCAGCTAGGCCTTATGGATCTTAGGCCAACTGACCAGCAGGCCTTTGGAAAGCTTAGCCAGAGACCATAGTTTAAGGTTTTACCTATATATTAAAGGGCTACTGGCTGCAGTGGGTTAGAAACCTGTTCTTACAATCAACATCGATCAAATATTTGTTTGCAGAAATTATTGTTACCTGTAGCTTCCTCCTCTGGATCTTGTTCTGGTGGATTTTCTGCTCATTTGTCTTCCTCCAGGGCTTCCTCAGAGTTTTGAACCTCTTCGTTTTGCACTTATACAACTTTGTATCGAAGGTCAGGCTTTCTTGTGTTAACAGAAATGACTCTTCTCATGCTCTCTTTCATAGGCATGCCACAAAGAAGGAAAACATACTCACAGACGGAGACTTGACATTGATTTAATATTGCCATACATATTTTAAACAACTTTCAAGAAATATTGCTTTCCTCCTCTCTGATTTGATCACTAGTCTCTCTGACGCTTCTTTCAAGACTCATAGGTTCACATTCAGCAATCTATTTGGCAATATAATAGGCGATGGCAATAGCAATTCCACACAGTTGAATGTCCATGTTCGCACACCAGCGGCTTAAGATCGAATCTTCTTGAAGCCTCTAGACCCAATCCCAGTCAAATCAAACTTTCCAGAAGCCCTTCCAACCCTTACAATACAAAGACAATGCACACCCATATGTTTGTATACGTATATGCATGTGTGTGTGAAAGTTGAAAATCCTATGACAGACAGACAAGAATGGTGGCCATTTAATAGAAACACTGTCTAATAACAAGAAAACATTCAACTTCAGCTAGCATTTCATCAAGTTCAAAAGTGGAAAACCTAAGTCAAATGATGATGATGGTCCCAAAAAGTTGCTTATGAAAAGATGATGTGACAATGATTATATAAAATATGGCTTTACATGTACTGGTGATCAACAATATCCAAAGCCAGTATGTAATTTATGTTCTACCAAACAGTAGCCTCAAATCTCTACTTTGGCACCATTTATAAATTAGACATCGTGCAGAATTTGACAAGTCAGATTACTGCACACGAAAATTAGCTGACTGGAAAAGTGATATTACCAGTTTTGTATCCAAAACAAGTTTTGATAACAAAAATGCTCTTGAAGCATCATATTGAGTAGCAAAACATCAGAAGCCCATACCATAGCAAAGAGCTTGATTGGTTCATGTGTACAAGACATTGTTCATTGCATGCTCACAGAAAAGGCTGCAAAAAGGATTGATGTAGTACGTTTGTCCAATAACACGTTGTCATGAAGAATTAATGACATGCCAAGTAATGTGGAAACGACAATTGTACAGAAAGTGAAAAAATAACGACACAGTGGATTCATCCACTTGTACAGGATAATATAGACTAATCTATTTTACTACTGTTTGTACGTTATGTGAATGAAGATATGGTGGAAGATGATTTGTTGTTTTGCCAAACATTAAAGAACGTACAGCTGGAGCAGATATCGTCAATCTGATTAACGCATATTTTCAAGTAAAGGAAATAGATTGGTCTTGCTGCCTAGGCATTTGCATTGAAGGCATCAAATCAGGGACAGGGAAGTATTCCGGATTTGCTGCTCAATCAACCAAGGTTGCCTCAAACATCTCTTGGACTCATTGCAGTATCCGTAGACAAACCCTCACGGCAAAATGCATGCCTGAGGGACTGAAGGAACTGCTAGACAATGCAGTGTAAATGGTCGATTTCATAAAATCACTGCCAACAAATTCTAGAATATATGCTTTGGGAAGAAATTGGTAGTGTAAACAATTAGCTGTTGACCCAGGCTGAAGTTAAATGGCTCTCAAGTGGCAAAATTCTTAGGTACTTGTTTTAGCTTAGAATGGAAATCCTAGTTTTTTTTCAGCAGCCATTCTTTCCACCTCACCGGCTATATGGAAAAAATCAGGTGAGAAGAGATAATTTTAACTATTGTTAGGGTAACAAATTGCATGTAACAAGTTTTTTTTTATTATTAGGCTTAGCTAACCTGTTTTATTTTGTTTAGTAACTTACTTGGATATGTCTGTTATTACTTGTAACCATTTAAATCCTACCTTTTATACTTAAAATAACTTTTGTTTTTTAATAAATTCTATGTAAATAATAGTTATGGGGAATAGCTGTGCATCTCTTTCATTGATAAAGGAAATAAATGATTTATAAGCCTGCTTTATATAAAAATGTAAGCAGACAGATTTGTGTGTGGTTTAGGTCCCAGGGGGGCTATGCACCTGAATAAAGTGTCAAGTACCTTTGACTAAGCCTTCCCAGAGCTGAGCTGATTTTAGTTCCTGTGTTGCTCTGCTGTGGGCTGCGTTCCTAATGCTGTACTATTGCAGAAGGAGACTGGAGGGTCCAGCTCAGTTGGACAGGATGATAGGGCACCCTAGAGGGCAGGTAAGTGGGCTCAGTGGTATTTAAGCATATTAAATGGCAGTCTCCGGGGGATCCCTGCTATCTGTGACAGGTTTGGTCACACTTCTTCAACACAGATATTGAACACTGAGGAAGAAGAGAAACTGACTGAGATCTACTGTGATTAACAAACTGAAAAGGAGTTTCAGAAATCTGTCCATGACAAACTTTTGGCTGAGTTTAAGAAACAAGTACCACCTTTTGGCAGAAAAAAAAATACTACAGTTTGTTACCATTTTTAACAGCATACTTATGCGAGAAAGCATTTTCCACGTATGCACATCTGAAAACAAAATACAGAAGCAGACTCAATGCTGAAGCTAAGACTTTATCATTCTCCAGTGGCTCCAGACTTCCAAAAGCTATGCAGATCAAAGTAAGCACATCCATCACTCTGAGGAGATTTAAACTTCAAGACTCCTTATGAGAAATTGAAAAGATGATAAATATTTTTTTGCTGTTTTTTTAAATAAATAGGCTGCTAGTGTTATTATAGTCATGCATTGTTTGTCTGGACAGCTCAAGACCCAAATGCCTGTGTACAAGGAACTCTTTATGGGCAAGTCACAACTCCCTCCCAAACTCTGCACCCCCTCCTTTATCTCTACTCCAACTGAGAATCCTCTCCCGCACCCATGCCCCTTCCCAGACCCTGCACTAGTTAACCATTACTCAGTAACACAAAACACATCCTGAGTACACATGCCCTAAAATTCTGGTGCTTCACACAGACTTGAAAGAAATTAAAAAATAAGCCAGACCTGTTCTTAAGTGTACATTAGCACTTCTATTGAAGTCAATATACAAATATGTGTATTCTGTTACTTGTGTACATCCATATGCACACCTGGAACAAAGGAAGCTACGCTTAAATTCAGTGTAAAGGTCATATATTAAGAATGACATCTTCCTCTCACCCTATAGAATATGATGGAATAGTAATTCACCTGAAGCCTTCATTTTGTTTTGTTCCTGTTGCAATTTTATGACTTTATAAGTTATTGATATAAATTTTAAGATCCGATATTATACAGGAATGTTTGGAGAAAGCCTAGCTTTCTTTACACTATTGTTGTCATTCCATGTGGTTATCAGAGTTTTTAAAAGGACTAATAGTGTAAATCTGTGTTTTTATACAAAAGTACAATAAATCTGTATTTTCAAGTAGGATTTAGAAATCATGCCTGTTACATGATGATCAAGGAATTCTTTCCATCTTCAAATCAAGGAATTCTTTCCATTTTCAAATGAAAGTGTCTTAAAAACATGAACTAGGATTAAATAATTTCAAGGCAAATAAAAGCTTCTTAAATGTTTATTTTTTTCAACGAGTTTTTATGTTCAAATGAGGCAGGCATTCTTAGAATTGTCATTTTGAGTGATCTGACTGCTGACTATTGAAAGACAGTGATTGTCAGAGTCACTGCATTGAATTATGTACATTTCAAAATGTCACTTAATCCAATCCACTTTCAAATAAGAACTTGTCAATATTAAGCACTGTGTAAAACCACATGCAAAAATTGCTATAAAGAAGCTTAAATAGAACCAAACTTGCAGGTTTTCAGAAAGGATATTCAACATTAAAAAAATATACTGTATATTAAATTGAGCATTTCTAGTAACTTAAATATCTTCAACAAACATGTCCAGCAAGATATCCTTCTGTAAAATAAATTGTTCTTAGAACAAAAGCTAATGAATGGCTATTTAGACCCCAATTTCTCAACACAGTAGCAAACCTGTGAGACAAATGTGTAATCTAAATAGAATCCACTGTTAAAAACAAACACACACATAGCAGGACTGATTAACTATTACATTTCTATATTTACAAAAGTGCTTAGCATAAAAACCATTACCTAAAAAAATATAAACTTTATGAAGATCATTTGGCTCTACATACAATACTAGATCAGTGCTTTGGAAGGAAAAAACTTAGTATGTACATTAGGTTTAGGCAACTTTCCTATATTTTTAAATAAGTCTAATAAAAAGCTCCAAACAAATGTACCCTTATCCAAATTATGATTCAGCCTATATGATTCACCATAAATATAGCAGAAGTAAATAATTGAATACTAAATAATATAAGTAACTTTAGCCATTGTCTGCTGAATTAGTCGCTAATACAGGCTGCCGACAAATGGGGCAAGTAGAATTTTCAGAAAGCCAGCGATCGATACAATGAATATGAAACTCATGCATGCACGGTAACTGCCTTAGCTTGTTCCCTATTACATATTCATTGATACAAACACTACATGTTTTACTTATTTCACTCTCTGTGTTATTGTCCCCATAGTTACGGGTATTTAGATTGTCAATCTGCTCTTTGGTTAAACCTCTCAAGTGCTCATCATCATCATCATCTTCATTTAGCAAGAAGAAATGTGCAAGACGAAGAATGGGCAATGTTCCATTTTCAACCAAATTGTTTGCCTCTTGAGACTGTCTGCTCTCCTGATTTTCATTAATGAGACCATAATGTTGATTCCCATCATTCTGTCCACTTGTTTCACTGCTGGCTCCTTCAACATAGCTATGCCTAACTGAAGCCTCATTTAGCTCACTATTATCATTTGCTGCATGTGAGTAATTCAGCTCTGATTGTATATCTGGTAAGTGCTGACGGCCCCTCTGAATTTCTGAATTAGATTCAGTCTCCATTAAAGAGCTCAGTTCTCCAAAACCAGTCATGATTTGCCTTAATATTGACCGAAGAGCCACTGATGAAGGTTCACCAAGCCCAGTTTCTGAAATCCTACGAAGAGGTATCCGTATAGTGCTAACATAGGTTCGCATACCTGCACGTTCTGATCGGGAAATTGTTCGGCGAAATCCACCAGTATCACTTTCGAAAGTAACAGTGTTTTCTGCCATTCCCACTCTAGAACGTGTTCTACTAGCAATACTATCCCGATCTCTATTTTCCCCAGGGCGAATTCTTCTCACCTGAAGATCTAGTGTGATAGTTGGATGTCTTCTAACTGCTGCTGTTGATCTACTAGATTCATCCTCTTCCAATGTTATGCCCAATGTTGGGGCTGAATTAAAAAACTGTGGTGCCTGTGTGCTGCCAACTGTTTGATCATCCGGCTCAGAGGAAGACTGAGCTGTATATCTCCTAGTAGACCTTCTAGAGTTACGGTGTGAATTCCTACTATGCCTCAATCTAGGCTCCTCAGAATTAGAAGAGCCATCTTGTCTTTGAAGTGGAGAACGGCTTCGACCGCTCAAAGTAGATCTTAACCTTAGAATTCCTAGTCTTTGGCTTGTACTCACCTGAACATTAGCTCTAGCTCTTTGGAGTCCAGTGGATGTAACTCTTGCTTGTCTTTCCCTTTGCCTAGCAACGTGCTCACTAGTGTCCGAAAAAATATGTGCAGTGCTTCTTGTTCTATAAAGGCCTGTTGACTCCCTAGTTCTGTTTCTGAGCCTTCCTAAGACATGAGAAGAAGTTTCTTCAGTGCTCTGTGCTACAGAATTTCTCACAGTTCTGGTCCTTGCAGTGTTAGAAGTTTCACCATGTGAATCTCTTGAAGTCCTGCTCCTAGTTCGTGTGGCTACTGGACTGACTGCTCTTTGATGTCTGTTATCCATATGCATGGTGCTAGTATCCAAGTTTGAGATGTCTATATATTCATCACCCGAAGCTTCAAAACTATTATGTTCATGATTTATGTTGATTTCAAGACTAAACCGGAATTCCCCACTATTTGGATTTGTCCGACTCACAGCTCTCCAGGTTTGATTCCCACTCTGTCCACTGCGAGTAGCATTTCCTGTACGACGAAATGTGTTCAGCCATTCTAGTAGAGAGTCACTATTCGAATTTTCCCCAAAAACCTCTGAATCTGTAAGAAGCAGATATAGAACCCTCTTATTTTTCTAATGTTTAAAATTTTACACATTTTGCATACAATGGTGCCCTCTAACCTATGTACTACCTGCAAGCCTTTTCAAAGCTTTCTTCTTGATTTACATGATTTCAGCAGTAGGTTAGATGTGTGTCTATACTGCTGCTATTTTGCTAAAGATAAACTTTTGGCTTTATTATGCAGTGTAATAGAGTCAAAGTTCAGAAGGGACCATTAAGTTTAACACAAGACACAGAATTCCCCAAGATTAAATTTTAGGGTGTATTTTACAGTAAACATTCAATTTTGATTTTAAAAATTGCCAGGGATTGAGAATCCATCACAGCCCATTGTAAACAGTACCAATGGCTGATTATTTACCCAGCATTGCTTGGGTCCTTAACTCAGTTAGCCTTAAAAAAAAAAAAAGGAAAATGCACGTTTTATTTAAATTATTATATTTTTATTAAAGATTTCTTAAATTGTTAAAACTTTTCCTTTTTTTTAGTATTTTTTTAAATGGGAATTTTGTCAAGTATATTTCCCTCCCCCCCCACATAAAACATAGCAAATGATAAGAGTTTAACAAAAAAGGCCTGTAGTCAATTTGATTTCCAATAACATTTTCTTCGAGTTTTCAAACCTTATGCACGCATTCATTTAGCTGTGCCAAACCAGAATACACCAAATTTCTCTGTTTTATCTCTTTTCCGTAAGTTTTATTGAGAAGCAATCCTATTCCAGCTGCGGCCAGGAGCTGCAGACAGAGGAGTTTGAGAGGGACCGCAAGAGATCCCACTGCTGAACAGGCTACTTGGTGAGTACTCGCTTTTGGTGTGAATGCGTTTGCTCGACTGTTTGAATTTTGTTTGTTTGTTGAATTCTGAATCTGGTTTCAGGTGACTGCAGTTTCAGTTTCAGCTGCTGTGGCAGTTGGGACTGAATGCCTGACCCTTTGTTCCCTCAATTACTCCCTTGATTGCATCTGGTCAGCCTTCCCCTGTGTGACTCACGAGGGGGCAGGCCTGGCCTAGGCAAGCATGCTTTAAAAGCCAGAGGCAGAGTGACCAGGGAACGAAGTGGACAGGAGCTGCAGACAGAGGAGTTTGAGAGGGAGTTTGACAGAGGGAGGCCTACGATGGTCTGGAAGACCTGCAACACCTGTGCCAGCACTGCTTCTGTCTTCCACACCAGCGCCTGTAGCCAGACAGAGCACTTGAGCATGGATGCCGCTACCCAGATCCTGGTGTTGTTTTGCAGGGATTGTGGATTGCAATTCCCACTTACTGATATCCAGGCTGGGGAGATTATCCAATGTGAAAGGTGCCTGCTGGTGGAATCTCTCAGGCAGCAGGTGGCAGAGCTACAGGAGGAGGTGGCTAGGTTGAGGAGCACCCGCATCTATGAGAAATTCCTGGACCGTGTTCATGAGGAGACAGCTGAGGTAGCTGTCCTGGTACACAGGACTGGAGACACCCCACTGGTGGAGAAGGAGATGGCTCAGAGTGGACAGTGGCAGCTGGTTACTTCTGGCAGCAGGCACTGCTCCACCTCTGCTCCGAACCCTCCCACCATGGTACTAGGAAACTGTTATACTCTTATTTATACAGGAGATAAGCAATTACCCCCTACACCGGAGAAGGAGAAGCCCCGTACTTCCAAGGCTGGGAGGTCTGCTGCCACCACTGTGAATAGGGAACATAGGGTAGTGGTGGTCTGAGACTCTCTTCGGAGGGGGACGGAGGCACCCATATGTCGCCCTGCTATTTCATCTCGGGAGGTTTGCTGTCTGCCGGGGGCCCGTATCTGAGATGTTACAGAGGCACTGTCTAGAATTATCTGGCCCTCTGACTACTACCCCATGCTACTCATCCATGTGGGCACTAATGATACTGCGAGGTGTGACACTGAGCAGATCAAGAGTGACTACAGGGCTCTGGAGGTATGGGTGAAGGAATTTGGAGCACAGGTGGTATTCCCTTCGATCCTTCCTGTCGAAGGTAGGGGCCCAGGCAGAGACAGGTGCAAACTGGAGGTGAATGCCTGGCTGCGAAGATGGTGTCGCCAGGAGGGCTTTGGATTCCTCGATCATGGGATACTATTCCAGGAAGGACTGCTACGCAGGGATGGCATCCACCTTACGAGGAGGGGGAAGATCCTATGTGGATACAGAACGGCTAACCTAGTGAGGAGGGCTTTAAACTAGGTTCGACGGGGACAGGTGAGCAAAGCCACAGGTAAGTGGAGAACATAGAGACCTGGGAGATGGGTTGGAAATGGGAGGGAGTGTGGGCTACAATGGCAGAGAGAAAGGAGGGTCAGGGCAAAACTGGGAGGCAAGGACACATCAGGATCTTAGATGCCTATACTTCTCACATTTGTATATGGGAAATAAGCAGGAAGAACTGGACGTGCTAATAAATAAGTACGATTATGACATTGTTGGCATCACAGAAACTTGGTGGGATAATACACATGATTGGAATGTTTGTATGGAAAGGTACAGCTTGCTCAGGAAGGAGAGACAGGGAAAAAAGGGAGGAGGTATTGCTTTATACATTAAAAATGAACACACTTGGAGTGAGGTGGAGATGGACATAGGAGACAGAAGTGTTGAGAGTCTCTGGGTTAGGCTAAAAGGGATTAAAAACAAAGGTGATGTTATGCTAGGAGTCTTCTACAGGCCACCTACCCAGATGGAAGAAGTGGATGAGGCTTTTTTTAAACAACTAACATCATCATCCAAAGCCCAAGATTTGCTGGTGATGGGGGACTTCAACTATCCAGATATATGTTGGGAAAATAACACTGCAGGGCACAGACTATCCAATAAGTTACTGGACTGCATTGGAGACAACTTTTTATTTCAGAAGGTTGAAAAAGCTACCGGGGGGAAGCTGTTCTAGATTTGATCCTAACAAATAGGGAGGAACTGGTTGAGAATTTGAAAGTGGAAGGCAGCTTGGGTGAAAGTGATCATGAATCATAGAGTTTCACAGTTCTAAGGAAGGGTAGAAGGGAGAACAGCAAAATAGAGACAATGGATTTCAGGAAGGC